TAAGATGTTAATAAAGGAATGTGGCTACAGAATATAAAAGAACTGTTGGTACTACTGTCTTTTTTTTTTTTTTATAAATCTAAAACCGAAATAGTCCATTTAACCTGTTTAAAACTAGAAACCCTAAAGGCAGCAATATCATGTATTTTTTCTTCTTCTTTTTTGGGGGCAATAATGGTGACTGAACCCAGGACTGTTGCATTGAGCTACATCCTTACCCCTTTTTATTTTTTATTTTGAGACAGGGTTTCACTAAGTTACCAAGTTGTCCAGGCTGGGCTCAAACTTGGGATCCTCCTGCTTCAGCCTCTAAGAGCGCTGGTCTAACAGGCACAGACTACCATGCCAGGTGATATCTGATATTTTGGTTACAATTTCTTGGCAGTATTTAAGTATGATAACCATAACTTTAAGAGAATTTGACTGTAAAATATTTTCATGCTATAAAAATAAAACAAGAAGAACCAAATGGTACAAATACATTATTAATAGTTAGGTTTAGTTTTCTTTTTTTTGAGACAGGGTAGCTCTGGCTGGCCTTGAACTCACTATGTAGCATAAGCTGGACTCAAATTCACAGCAATCCTCTTGCCTCAGCCTCCCAAGTGCGGGGATTACAGGCATGCACCACTGCACCTGGCATAGGTTCAGTTTTTGATAGTCTGTTTGCTAGGGCTTAATACATTATAGAAAAATAAATAACTTTCTAAATAAATAAATCCAGGTTTTGCACAGACCAATAATTAAGTGTGTACATGAAGCATGGAGTGAGATTAAGCGAGGGGCCAGGGCTACAGCTCAGTGGTAGGGAGCACACTTAGTGTGCAAGAGCCACTAGGCTCAATACCCAGCACCAAAAAAAACCAAACAAACAAAAAATCAGTCCAGTGTTGTTCATCTGAGTACTTATTTTTGGCACACTGGGAACTGACCTCAGCAGGCTAAGCAAACACTACCACTGAGCTAACACCTCTAGTCACTTGAGTCTTAAGTTTTTTAAAAATATAGGGAAAAAACCCCCTCAAATTATTAAACAATTTAACTATTAAACTGGAGGGGTTATCATAGGAGGTAGAAAATAAGCAAACCACAAAACAGATTTAGAAAGGTCCAAAAGGCACAGAGAATACAGACTAAGACATGCCACCAGATATTACACAGAAGTCTCAGTAGTTAAACTTGAGCTAATTCACTGACAAAACTCATGGATTCTTATCATTTTAAAAATCACTTAATCAATTATTTTAACATTAGTATCTTTAATTTCTTCCTCTAAATTGCCCCAAATTTCCTCCCAGTATGTGATTTCAGTTCATGTTTTCTTAGCATAATTACAAATTTTGTGTACTAATCAGTGGTCTTTCAGCTAAACATTTCGGAGCTATACATATTAGTTCTCAAAGTACAAGAAGACGTAATAGATTGATGATAACACAGTAGTACTTTCACAAAGATATCTAGGATGTTTAATAAATCATATTTAAGGACAAGAACAGAAAGAAGGAAATCTCAGGTTCACCTGACATCCACTCCCTCTCTGTAAGAGAAAAAAAGAGTTCTTTTCAGTCCATCTACTACCAGGCCTCTGCCCAAGAAGTCGTCCTTTGATACTGTTGGTATTTAAATGCATTTGTTACATTTTAAAAGTAAATACATTTCTGATTAAAGAAGCTATAACAGCTGCGGATTTAGCTCAGTGGTGGGGCCACCTGCCTCACAAGCACAAGGTCCTGAGTTCGATCCCTGCTACCAGAAAAAAAAAAAAACTGTAACAAAAGCAGCTTCTAAGATCAGAAACACTGATACAAGGGGTGACCGAAATTTATGGTGAATGTTTAAATTTTTCAAAATTATTACAGTTAAAGATGTATTGCTATTTATCCCTCTCAAAATACTCCCCCTTGCTTTGAACTGTTCCCTTTACAAGGATGTAGTAACCTTTTTTGTCTCTCATAATTAGTCTTGGTTTGAAATCCATTTCATCTGCAAACCGAATAGCTACTCTGGCTTTTTTTCAGGTTCCTGTTGCATGGAGTATCGTTTTCCACCCACTCCCCCTTGCTTTGAACACATCCCATCATTCTTGCCACTTTCTGAAGCATTGCTGGAAGTCTTCTTTCATGAGTGTTTTTATAAAGTGTGATGAAAAACACAGGGAATGCTGCTGCTAAATGCCATCCAATGGAAAGGCAGGCTCATAAAAACATGCTGTGTCCTCATTCACCTTATTCACTGAATGTGGTACGGTATGACTTCCCCAAAGTTAAAATGGCCATGAAAAGTAAATGTTTAAAATCAATTTAGGACCTCGAGGCAACCATGACAGCATAAAGACACAAAAAGAGGACTTCCAGAACTGCTTCAGAAAGTGGCAAGGATGATGAGATGTGTGTAGAAGTGAGGGAGAGTATTGTGAGGGAGATTAATGGTAGTGTGTCTTTTACTATAATAAAATTTTAAAAATTTTAAATATGCACTGTACTTTTCAATCACACCTTATATAAGACAATGATGGGGTTTCAAAAGAACTTTACAGAGGAGAATATAAACAGTAAGATTTCCTGAAAAATAAAAGCTATAAATACAAATAAATTCAAAGCAAGGGAGGCTAAGCAGTTACTGAAGGAAGCTGGAGATGACAGAGGTGAACCTGTATATTTCTAAGTCCCGCTGTTAATAGTATCCTTAGGCCTGGACTGAAGGAGCAACAAGGAACTTCTATAAGTTAGACTACACAAACTATGTATAGCTCAGTTCAAGAATATTTGCTGAAGATAAACTTTGTTCAAAGCACCGTCCTTCCTAGGCCCTATTGATACCGATTCCTGGTTTTAGTCAGCATTAATCTCCAAAACCTTGAAATGCAGAAGTGCTAAGCTATGGAGCAGAGCCCTTTCCCAAGGAACTCAAACCAGAAAACGATGATAATTTTCCAAAAGGTTATAGCAAACACTTTCCATATAGCCATGGCTATTACCAAGTGTGGACACAATGCGTCTTTTCAGTACACTGACAGCATCTGATGCTCTCCCCATCTACAACAAAGCTCTACAACTTAGGTCCAGTTTGCCCAGTTTTTCAGATGAGACAACAAGAAGACAGAGATTATAAAACAACTTACTCCAACTTTAAACAGATTGCATGAATCAAACAGGTAACACTTCAAATCACTAGTAAAGTGAGTAAGAGATTGTAAGAAATGTACTGCAAAAAACTGCAACACTTAGACATAGCTGGTAGGAAGGTAAAATGGTGTAGCTGCTGTGGAAAACAGGATGGGAGTCTTCAAAAATAAGGCAGGGTGTAGCTCAGGAGCAGAGCATGTGCTTAGCACACATGAGGCCCTGGGTTCAATACCCAGCAGCAAAACAAACAAATCAGAGAATTAATGTATGTTCCACTTCTCAGTATAAACCCCTAAGAATTGAAAGCTGGGACTTGCACAGATTATTTGTGTATCATTGTTCAAAGTAGCATTATTCACAAGAGTTAAAAGGTAGAAACAACAAGTGTCCTTTAACAAGGTAAAAAATAAACAAATGTGGAATATACATATGTCACATTATTCCACCTTAAAAAGGAATCAGTCCTGATCCATGCTGCAACCTAGATGAGCCTTAGAAGATACTATGCAAGGTGAAATAAACCAGTTACAATTAGAAAAACCATGTCAGCCATGGTGGCGCAGGCCTGTAATGCCAGCCACTCAGGACTGCCGGCCACTGCCGAGGCAGGAGGATTGCTATGTGCTCAAGGCCTCGGCCAGCCTGAATGACATAGCAGGATCCTGTCTCAAAAAACAAAAACAACAACAAAAAACCAGACAAATTCTGTACAATGTCACTTATAAGAGGTACCTACAGTAGACATTTCAGGGACAGAAAATGAATGGCAGCTGGCAGGGCCTGGGAGAAGTGGAAAATGGCGATTTATGTTTAACGGGGACAGAGTTTCAATTTAGGAAGATAAAAAAGTTTTGGAGATGGATGGTTCTGAAGGTTGTACAATAACATGAACATAGTTAATGCCATAAAACTGTAACCTAAAAATGATTAAAATAGATAATTTTCTCTTATGTACATTTTGCAATAAAAAAATCATACATAAGGTTTACTCCTGGCTTATAAATATCATCCTGAAGTACACCAGTGGCTTTAGACTTTTAAAAAAATCAAAAGAAATGAATGAATTACACTTTTTCATTTTATAAAGAAGTATTTTTTGTCATTATTTAGAGACTTACAAGTTAAGTATGTTTAGAATCTTGGTGAACTTAATGATCAACATGTAAAATCATGCAGAAAGAACTGAACTATGCAATAGGACTGACCACTGTGCTTAACTAATATTTTATACTCAAAAATTCCAAATGACCAAACAATAAACAATGCTATTCATCATTTCAAATGAAGTCTGCATACTACCAGAGGAGGTTCACAACCACTCACTCCTCACTCTGGCTACACAGCAACGGTGTTCAACTCACGTTAATGGTAACAAATGGGGAGGAAAAGAACTACCCCAACTTTCTTTTTATTTCAAAGATTTTGTGTTTGTTTGTTCGCTGTTTTGAGACAGAGTCTCACTATGTAGCTCAGGCTGGGCTTTAACTCACTATGTAGCCCAGGTTGGCCTTGAATTCCAAGTGATCCTCCTGCCTCAGCCTCCTGAGTGCTGGGATTACAGGCATATGCCACCACAGTGGGTTTCAGTGGTTTTCTAATTTAGTTGCTCCCCCATCTGCATCTATTGAAAGGGCTCTTTCTGTGGTCATATTCTGTTCTCCCCTATTTAAAATAACATAACCTTGATCATACCATGGCTCTGCCTGGTAATGCTAGTTACAAGTCTGTTGGTTTCAGGGTTAGAAAAATTTGTATATAACATTAAAATATTTGGATTGTATTTCTAGAATTCATGTTGGCATATCAAGGAAAGCTAAAAAGATTAAAAATCCATTAAAATAGTCATTAATATATGAGGAACAATCAATGACAAACCTTCTTGAGAAGACACAATGGGTGGCAAGTAATCCGGAATGTATTCTTTTCTTTCCTCTGCATCTTTACTTCCGGGTTGCGGAAACTGGAGTACATTGTTCTTGCTAACAGGAAATGAAGGGATTTGATGTGGAAAAGTGACAGGTTCAATATTGTGAATATAGTCTTCTAATTCATGAAGACTGACTCCCATAAGCTGGAAAGCTTCACTAACGTCATCCAATATTGGGTCTGTTCGGCCATCTGAAAGGCAAGAGCAAACTGTTACTTAGAGAAAAAAAATGTTTAATATTTCTAAAACACTTTAAAGGTTGCTAAATAAATGTTAATATGAGCATTTAAAAAACATTAGGCAAATATGCAGCTCTGAGTCAAATACATTATATATTTAAAACCTAGTTACTAGAGAGACTTCAACAGTCTTTAAGCAAAATTTCACATTAAATATTAGAAAGCTGATTACTGAAGACAATTTTATTATTTTTTTATTTTTTGCTTAAATTCTTTTATTGGTACATTTTAGGTATACAATACGTTTACATTTATCATTGGGTGCTTGAACCTGTACATGATATATCTTGGTTCTTATTTTTTCCCCATTATCTGTGCGCCCTTCCCTATTTACAAAGACTTTGTTTCCATTTTTTCCTTTTCTCATAATTTTTCCTTTCCCTTCTTTCCTTTCCCCTTCCCCTCCCACTTTCCCTACCTCTTTGGATCTTTTCTTCCTATTTCAAATTATCAATAGTTCATTTTAATCGTTTTAATCCTTATTTACACTTTCAGTTTCTCACACTAGATAAACTACTCGGTACTTACACGTGTGTCCTATTTATTTCACTTAAGAGTATGGCCTCAATATGCATCCATTTAGCTATAAATGCCTCTAGTTTCTCATTCTTTATGGCTGAGTAGCACTCCATTTGAAAAAAAAAAACAAAAACACCACATCTTCTTTATTCAGTTTCCAGTTGATGGGCACTTGGGCTGTTTCCAAACTTTAGCTATTATGAACTGTGCCGCTATAAACATGGGTGTACATATATCGCTGTGGTATGATTCTTTTATTTTTGGGGGAAGATACACAGTAGGAGAATAGCTGGGTCAAATGGGACCTCTAGTCCTAGTTCTTTGAGGTATCTCCATACGGATTTCCACAATGGTTGCACCAGTCTGCACTCCCACCAATAATGGAGAAGGGTTCCTTTCTCCCCACACCCCCGCCAGCATTTCTTATTGGTTGATTTCTTGATAGCAGCCATTCTTTCTGGAGTGAGGTGGAATCTCAGTGTTGTTTTCACCTGCATCTCTCGAATGATCGGTGATGCTGAACATTTTTTCATGTTTATTTGCTGCTTTTACTGCTTTGTCTGAGAAGTGTCTGTTCATTTCAGATGCCCATTTTTGAATTGGGTCTTTGAATTTGGGGCGGTCTGATTTTTTTTTTTAGTTCTTTATATATTCTAGATAGTAGTCTTTTGTCTGAGGTACAACTGCTAAAAATTTTTTTCCACATTGTAGATTGTCTCTTAGCTGTTCGTGGTTTCTCTTGCAGTGCAGAAGCTTTTTAATAAGATGAGATCCCAGTTGTTGATTCTTTGTGCTAGTTCCTGTGCTACTGAGGTTTTGTTCATAAAGTCTTTTCCTATGCCAATGTCTGAAGACAATTTTAAATACGACTTAACAACTGACCAAAACACTACTCATACTACCAATCAGCTAGTACAGAAACACTATCAGCCAGGTTGTGCCATTTGTAATTCCAGCACTTGGTAAACTGAGGTAGGAGTTCAAGGCCGGCCTGAACCACACAGCAAGACCCTGTCTCAAAACAAACAGTATCAAAAGTAATTTATGAATGGTCAAAGCATTTAAACAAACCAGACGTGATGGCCTGTAATGCCAGCACTCTGAGACACTGAGGCAGGCGGATCACAAGTCTGGGCCCAGCCTGGGCCACTTATGGACTTAGATTCTGTCTTAAAATAAAAAATAAAAAAGAAGGGGCCGGAGATTTAGCTCAGTGGTTTCGCCGCCTGCTGCGCAAGTGCAGGGACCTGGGTTCGATCCCTGGTACCAAAAAAAAAGAGATGTAGCTCAGTGTGAAGGGCTTGGGTTCATTCCCCAATACCACTAACAAAATAAAATCCACAGTAGTGGCTGACAAAGTATATGCCCAATAAATATTACTATTATTACTTTCCTCATCAAATAGCTAGTATGCTGTGTTGAGTAAGTAAATGTCCGTTACATTTTCTCTGTGATTCACCGATGCATCTCTGAACCTTTCACAGTGCCTGACCCATGATGGGTGCTCAAATAAACACCTGTTAATAATTATACCACTGAATCAATGTTTTAAATCCAAGAATATTTACAAGGAAGAACTTAGATCCTAAAGGCAATTTCTATACAAAATTTCAAGTCTTATTGGAAGACATTACATAAAATAGACAAACGAAAAGATAAAGAGTTAACTATAATGAGGTTTTCTTCACAAAAGCCAGGTGTGGTGGCACACACCTGTAATCCCAACACTTGGGAGGCTGAGGCAGGTGGATCACCATGAGTTCAAGGCCAGCCTGGACTACATAGTTCAAAACCAGCCTGAACTACATTTCGAGACCCTGTCTCAAAAAGTAAAACAAAACAAACAAAAACAAATGCAATTTTTTCTTATGACTATCCTTGGCAGAACTTGAGGCTCCTACATGTTTATAAATTTCTATAAGACCCAGGCATGGTGGTACACATCTGTAATCCTAGCATTTGACAGGCTGAGGTAGGAGGATCACTAGGAGTTCAAAGCCAGCCTGGGCTACAACATGTGTCCAAGGCCAGCTTGAACTACAAAGTAAGACCCTGTCTATAAAACCTTCCAGTTTCCAACTTCCAAACAGCTTAAAGGAATTTTTCTTTCAGTGAAATCTTCTATGATCACTTTAAACTCAGTATGTCTGAAATTAAACTACACTGTAAAATGAACAAGAATCCAAATTTGGCATGAAGTAGGTGTGTGTGTGTGTGCTCAGTCTGGAAGGATGCAGAGTCAAGGGTTTGTAGGTCAAACGAATGGAAGCTACAGTACAAGAAAACAACGTGGTTGAAGCAAGAGACTTTGCTCCTAACTTCAAACACTTCTGCACTCCTGGAACTTTCTACAATATGAGTTACTTTTTGATGCATAAAAAAGAAAAACTAAAGAGATCATTTCTGCAATCCCAGCACTATGGGAGGCTGAGGCAGGATGATCACAAGTTTGAGCCCATCCTAGGCAACTCAGTGACTTAGCAAGACTTTGTCTCTTTTTTTCTCTTGGTACTAGGGATCGAACTCTGGACCACGCGTTTGCAAGGCAGATGGCGTAACCACTGAGCTAAATCCCTGGCCCAAGACTTTGTCTCAAAAAACAGAAAATAAAAAAGGGGCTAGGAATGTAGCTCAGCGCAAAGGTACTGGGCTTAACTGCCAGTACTGCAATAAAATAAACACTATTAATTCTCCTTACTAAACACAGATATGCATTTCAACTCTTCTATTCTTACATTATTATCACTCTCTCAGTATAAAAAACAGAACCACCTTAAATTCCCCATGTGCTCTCCAGTCTCAATCCAACACCTTCTGGTGCTGCCCACCCTCCCTTTTTCTTGCCATAGTTCTGATTTTTCTTACTCTGCATTCTGTGATCACCACTTCTCTACACATATCCATAGAGGATACATTTCCAAACCTTCAAAATGCCTGAAACCTCAGGTGGGGCTGAACTCTACATATACTGTTTTTTCCCTATACATATATATTTATGATATAGTTTAATTTGTAAAATAGGCACAGAGATTAAGAACAATAAATTTTAAAACAGAACAATTATACTCTAATAAAAGTTATTTAAAACGTATGAATTGTTTATTTCTAGTAATTCCATTTAATCTTTTCAGACCACTTTGACTACAGGTAGCTGAAACCTTAGTAAGCAAAACTGGATAGTAGGGAATCATGTAGTTTCATGTCTTGCTGCCTACCAGAATCTCTCTTAGATTTCACTCCAATACCATTTCCCTAAAATACTACTTTCTTCATAGTATTCTCCTACTTAAGAATATGCAATGTGTTGTTTTATTTAAGACAGGGTCTTGCTATATAGCCCAGGCTGGCCTCAAAGTCAGGATCCTCCTGGCTCAGCCTCCCAAGTGGTGGGATTTCAGGTGTGTACCACCACATCTGGCAGGAGTATGCAACATTTTCTACCACGTTTTACTTCTTTCATAAAGCTTTTAATTCCTTCCATAACTTGATTTCACTCAAATATTTTCCTTGCCTCACAGGTGGAGCTGGTCACCTTAATGGGTACTTTCACTTTTACTTGGACATCTTATTTTATGCTGTTCTCTAACCTAGAATTCTCTTGAGCTTTACACAACCATATTTCATAGCTCAACTCAAACCTCACCTTTTCTGTGAAGTAACCCTAGCCTGGAATCCACAGTCCACAAACAAATGTCCTCTATCACGCTCTTTTTCTGAGCTACATAGTGAGACCCTGTCTAAAAATTAATAAAATAAAATAAAAAATTAGAGGGTAAAATATAAGATTACACAGTTGTGATCTGAGGTTACAGAATTCAATTTTAAAATAAAGACAACATAGAAAAAAAAAAGAATCTTAAAATGTTTGTGTACTTAATAGTATACTTAAATTAGCATTTAAAAAAATTCTCCAAATCACCATAAGGATTATAAACCTGAGGCCGCGGATTTAGCTCAGTGGTGGTTCGACCGTCTGCCTCACAGCGCAAGGTCCCAAGTTTGATCCCCGGTACCAAAAAAAAAAAAAAAAGTGACAATTACATTCTCACTAAAATCAAGAAGACTAGAGAAATTGACTAATGAGGAATAAGGCCCATGTTAACACATCCTGCCAACTTGATCTACTGGTGGTGCATGCACGACCGACCCGTCCTCCCTTTGTACTGTACCACCTGATGGGACAGTCGTGCATGTACCACTGGTGTTCATGGCCACCTGGCATCAAGACATGAATTATGGCCCCATTGGGAACATGTTAAAGAACTACAACAATCCTCTGGTGACTTTAGAATACCAAGTTACTTGAAGTGCCAACACACATTCTGCTTCTAGGCAAAAGGTATGAAAGGTAACTATGTATTCAGGGGATGTTTTGGCCTCTGTCAAACAACATTTGTCCTTATTTAGGCAAGTTGATAGAAAAAATATAATCAAGGGTACCTATAATTTACATTACATTCAAGGAAAGGCAGCCTGAAGGAAAACAAGTAAAAGCCAGGAAAGTATTCAGGTGGTGGGCTACTTTCAGGATAATGATGAATGAATGCCACTTTACAGTTCCCAATTTAGAAGTACTGGTGAAATCAAGCATTAAAAAAAAAAAAAAAAAAGGCTGGCACATGCCTATAATCCAAGCACTGGAGGCTGAGGCAGGAGATCACCCCAAGTTGGAGGCTAGCATTTTAAGAACCCAAAAAGTAAAGTCAAGCTGAGTGTAGTGATACATGTTTGTAATCCCAGCTACTCTGGAGGCTGAGGCAGGAAGCTCAAGGCCACCATGGGTAGCTTAGCAAGTATCTGTCTCAAAATAAAATAAATAAATAAATAGGACTGGGCATGTAGTCCAGTGGTAAAGCATCCCTGGGTTCAATACTCGGTACCACGAAAAAAAAAAAAAAAAAAGGAAAGTCAAAAAATAGCTGGATTATCAGTTCATTCATTCATTCAACACATATTTCCTGGGTGCCTATTATATTTTGGCCTCATACTAGATCACAGAACACATATATAATCAATTTGTCTCCTGGGGAGGGGAAGAGACATACAGATAATCACAAAACAAGTTGATTAATAAGGGAAATATGCACAGGATTATAAAAGCAGATAATATGAGTTTCCTAAAGCAAGACACAGAGAATCTTCAAGTAAAAATGGTACTACTGGTGGACTAGGGAGGACACTGGGAAACAGCATGCATTTAGGACTGAATAGCTTTAAATGTTTTGGAAAAGGCAGGTAACTCAGCATGGCTGCAGATTAATATGGCAGGGTGGCAGAAAGATAAGAAAAATTAGCTCATGACAGAAACTATGCTGCTAAAGTTGAGATTTTTAGCCTGTAACCAGTGAGTGGAATTGAAATATTTCTAAATAGAATAACAGCATCAGACTTGGGCTATGTGCAGTATCTGATTTGTGTTATGGACAGCACTTTGGCAGCACTACTGAAATGGAATTTAGAACCTAAGAAATACAAGGCATCTAAGGGTCTCCACTTCTTAAACCTAGGAACCACTTTAACAAAACATTCTATGGAACACTTCACCAAGTTTGCCAATTTATCAATTTAAAAACCACAATCTGAAATTTAATTGAGTGGTACCCCCTCAACACATACATATACGTATGTGTCACACATCAACAAAATGATGCGGGGCTTTTGTTAAAATAATCCAAATTATTAAATAGCGCCAGCTATAAATACTTCCAGACACTCACTCAAAACCCGTAAAAACTGAAGCCCAGATTACCCGCGGAACCTTGAAAATTACCTAGGATCCCCCTACCAGACTGTGATAGCCACTGACATAAAAACTATAAAGGAGGAAGACAACGGGAAACTGAGATGTAAGTGAAAGTTAACCTAATTAGTGAAACTGACCAAGTCTGCCTTTGGAAACAGTACGTAGAGATGCTGTCTGTGAAATGAACAGATACAGAAAGAAAAAGCAGGGTCCCTAACGGAGACAGCTGTCAAAGAGTCGGGGCAGTGAGAAGCTGCTGGAGAATGGACAGCCTGGTAAGAAACGGCCGGTAGACGGAGCGCCTGTGACAACTAGTTATAGTAGTTTGCGGGCAAGGGAGGAAAAGGACCAGGGTAAAAGGGTGTAGGGCATTCTGGGGGTGATTCCATCCGCAGCAAATACGAGACAAGGAGAAAGACCGAGGCACATCGCAGAGCGAGGAGAGGAGAAAGTGTGGAGCCGGGAGCGGAGCCCGGGCGCCCGGCTGGTGGCGGGAAGTTAGCGAATGCAGGGGAGGCACCGAGAATGACTGGAGTTTGCAAGAGCAGTGGAAGCCCAGGGGCGCTGGAGCCGAGAGGGTGGCAGATGTCGGGGCGGGGTGCAGACGGCAAAACCCTGGGACGCCGAGGGAGGGACGGGGAGACCGAGATGTCACGCGTGACTCGCCGGGGCAGCCCTCCCGCGCCCAGCCCGGTACTCACAGAGTTCAGAGTACCGATGGCAGCCCCGGCCCAGCTGCTGCAGATAGCGCTGCAGCACGTCCGTGAGGAGATGGCAGGCGCTGAGCTGCACCGAGTCCCAGCCCAGCGCCTGGCAGATCTGCGCCACCGAGACCCTCAACAACGACCTGGAGTAACTCTCGCACATCCCGCTGCGTGGACGCCACCGCACCCCTTGCTGCCACTTCTCTCCAGCCCCGCCGCCTGACCTTAGCAGAGCCCCCAATTCATTCTCTGGGGCCCTCGCGGCGGGGAAATCGTCCCCCGAACAACCCGGCGACCACCTCAAAGCCCGAGCAGCAAGGAGCGCGCCAGCCTGAGAGCCGCCATTTTGGGCTCGCTCCGCCTCCCGCTGGACGGCCGCCGGGGCGAGGCAGCACGAGTCGAATGCCGGTAGCGCCGATGAGAAAGCTCCGCCCCGTGAGAGCAGAGCGATGGTTTCGGTATCGACTCTCGGGCCTGGAAGTTGGCCGGAAACGTGTGCGGAATTCAGGTGGAGGTTGCGCCCGGGGCCAGCAGGTACTGGGGGTTAAGAGAAGGAAGAGGGAAGAAAGTCAGAGGGAGCTGGAATACAGCAGTGAAATGTTAATATTACTGGAGATTTAACTGTTACGGTGGTCCCCCAAACGAGGGTCTGGTCCGGTCCGGTCTCGCCTCTGCTATAGGTAAATAAATAGATAAATGGAACCTGGTGTAGAAGTGGTCGCCTGTAATCCCAGCAGTTGGGAGGCTGAGGCAGGAGGATCCGCGCAAGTGTGAGGCTAGCCTGGGCTACATAATGAGTTCAAGGCCAGCCTGGATTACATAGCAAAACGTTGTCTCAAAAAAAAAAAAAAAAAAAAAACCCCCCCCCCCCCACCCACCCCCGCCAAACAACAGGTGGGCTGTCCCCGGTTTTGCCGGTTCAAGATTTGTGCGTTGCCAGCCACTGTGACCTATCCAGGGCATGGGGAACTCACTTTCTCACAGAAGCCAAAGCAGTTCCTGAAATCCTTGAAGCAGGCTGTGTCCCTGGCAATGGTTGCCTACGGCAGAGCCTTCTGCGGCTCCAGCCAAGAATCACTGAATCTTTCCAAGGTGTTGGAAATTGAGATGTTGTGATAAGTAATTTGTTTTTTAAATATTGGGAACAAAATTGTGTTCTTTTGTTGAGTCGAGCTGTGTTGCCCAGGCTGACCTGGAACTCCCGGGCTCCAGTGATTCTCTCACTTCAGCTTTTGGTGACACTAGGACTACTAGGTACATGCCACCACACCCTGCCCTCTAGGAACACAATTGAAGTTTAATTTACAAGCCACACTATTCCCACAGTTAAGCTACATTTAACCTGTGAGTAGCCAGGTTATAATGGCTGATCTATTCAGTTTCGTAAATACGCCCTTCTGAGCTGGAGTGGTGTCACATACATACCTATAATTCTAGCATTTGGGAGGCTGAGGCAGGATGATTGCAAGTTTGAGGCCAGCCTGGAGTACATAATGAGACACTCAAAAAACAAAACAAAACAAAATGAAGAAACACTCAAACAGAGCACCTGTACTCCAGATATTGCTCCCCCCCCCCCCATACACACTGTATGAGTAAGGGCAGCCAGGCCTTCTAATCGTCAGGGCCAACTGCTCCTACCAAGATAGTGACTTCCTTCTCTGCTGCTGTGTCTTGGTTGTAGTATCCAGGTAGCAACTGTAGCTAACATTTCAGCAGGATCCCTGCTTTGTCTCCTTGTGAAAGTGTTATTCCTTTTGGAAATCAGATGCAGTAAACCTGGAGACCCAGAATTGCAAGAACAAGAACAATTTCCCAAATGGGTCACTGGTAGTGGTGGTGCCTAGAGAAACTCCTGCCTCCACCCCATGTCGTCTGCCTGTTGAGAACCCACCCACAACTGTAGAAAAGCCATGGACTTAAAGTGTGCATGGCATAAAAAATGAGAAATTAGAGACGTTTATAAGGCCAGGGATTTAGCTCAGTTGTTCTGCTGCCTGCCTCGAAAGCACAAGGACCCTGGTA